ACGACGAACAGATGAGTGTGGAAAGCGTCTTCCGTAAATTGAAAAACCCAGCAGAAAAACCTCGCCCGTGCAATATTTTACAGCAATTTCCATGTCTTTGAGGGACAAAACAAGGCCGGAGGAGCGCTTACTTTTCCAAGGGGTCGGTCATTTTGGCCAAATTCTTATGGAAGCGTAAGGCTTGAATGTCCTGCGTCTCTATTTTCGGAGGTAGAAGTCCTTGCAACCCAAGCATTTGGCGTTCGTGTAGCGTAAAGGCCATACCCTGAAAACAAGAGAGGTGAGAAAACAATTCAAAGTTCTTCCTCTCGCATTTTTATTTATAATTTCTTCCTCTTTGCCATTACTGCCTCTCCGCTGCGTCCTTTCTCGGTGCTGCAGCAGGCAGGCTTTGCATCGATTTTAATTAAAATAATTCAATTTAACAACCGAAATTGCCCCATCTGCTGCTTTTTTCTTTTTTTTTTTTTTATCTACAGACTTCTCGATAATCCAGCCAGATGCCAAAGTTACCGGATTGCCCGGTGAGTTCACAATTCAACTCCAATCCTTCCTTTTTTTCCTTAGGGCTAGAAGGAATTTATTCACCTTCAGCCGTAGCTGCCTACTACCAAAAAAATCACAAATTAAGTTTCGGAAGAGTTAAGCGGCAAAAACACCCCGCTGGTTTTTAAAAAAGCTTTCTAATGTGGGCTTTTGTCCAAATTCCTTTTGCAAGCCGAAGAAAAAAGATATTTTCTCACTTCAGAATTAAAAAACCACATAAATTAACATTACGTATTTTCACCTCTGCTTATGTTTGAATAGACTCTTCACAGGTAAGCGTGTCCGTTCATAAAATTCTCCAGTTTAGAGGCTCTACTTAGAGTAATTCAACATATTCAAATGGTTTATAACCAATGTAACTACCCCTTAGGAAAAAAAAAAATAGTTAAAATGATTTTTTTCCCCTTAAATCCCATTTATTGTCATTTAGACTACAGCAATTTAAGCAGACCACCCACTTTTCCCTAATAATTCTATACTATGTTTGAAAGTAAGAAAATATTTGAAGAGTTTAAAAGCAAGCTACTCCCAGGGAAAGAAAAAAATAACAAATAAACCCCTTGTTTTGCAAAAAAAATTTAAAAAAAAAGAGGTAGGTATTCAACCTTCCGTATAGTAGACGTGACATTAAATTCCGAACTCAATTTAGAACCTTCTCCTGCTAATCCGCAAGTCGCCTGCAAACCATTTCTCACGCAACTGTTATCCTCAAGTTTTCTTCCAATAGTCTGTAAATCAATTCCAGGCGACGTCTTATTCTTTATTTTTTTAAAGAGCCTTTTCTCAAGACACTGCGCAAGCGATTTAGGCAACGAAGCTGGGAAACATTTGCGGTATCTATCACTTGAGGCGCTACGAAAGGATGCCAAAAAAATTAAGATATTCTGAAGAAAAACTAAAAAAAAACCACCCCCAAACTTAAATCGATATTCAGAAGATCATAGAATGGCTGAGGTTGGAAGGGACCT